TATTATTCAATAGGTTTTTTTTAAAAAAAATTAAATATTCCTTCTGAATTATGTCACATCTATTTGCAAGGTCTCTTACATTGTCTAAAAAGCATTTTAAAATAATGACTATATTAAAATTAATTTATATGTAACTCATATAACAAGGCTTATGAACCTTATAAAAGATTGGGTCATATCAGAATCTTCTCAGGCAACAACAAGTTATCCCTGCAACACACAGGCTCCAGAGTTACCTCTTGTTCCAAATGTGCATTTTCAGCCCCCTTCTCTGGACACACAGAGGCATTTCAGTTTTGACATTGTTGTGAAACTTTTCTTCCCCACAGTACAGGACAGAATTCAGAGCTCACAGAGAAAAAGGAACACAGCAGAACAGCAGCCTGTAGCTTTTTCTGGGTCTTATATACACACTTTGTTCTGAAACACTGTTTCAGCATTTAATATTGAAGAATAAGTTGCATAAAATGAATGATAGAGCCAAGCTCCTAGAGCCCAACTCTCCTATTCTTTTAAATGAATATCAGGTCAAGTCTGATGCATTTTTTCAGCCCACAGTAACCTGAAATTTTGGCAGTGTTAGATTTTCAGCAGGGGAGGAAAGCAGTACCTCTCAAGTCTCAGAGCAGCCTTTTGCCAAGGGGTAAGACAACTTTCCAAGAAGATAGATATGCACTTAAACTCTCTTAAGGCAAGTGAATCTGAATGTCTTGGTTTTGGGTTGAAAGCTGTGGCCCGGCTAATGAATCCTCTTATAAAATTGTTGCTTACTTCATCATGCATTAGAAAGACAGAATCACTTTTTGGGTTTTATTAAATAAAAGGTGTGCTGTTGTATTCATTACATTGAGCTGTTATTTTCTTGCCTTGGGAGTAATATAGAGTGGGTCAAATCTTACAGCTCAGAATGGGCTTGGATTTATTAAACACACCTTTCATTGTTTCCCTTAGTAGTGGAACACTGGCATGGGTGGATTTTATCCTAACTTACACAATAGATCATGTATCCAGAATTAATAATATGAACTTGGTGTATTTCCTCAGATAAAAATGTCATGGTCCGTATGTAAACGAGACATATAGATGTCAAGACATATAGAATCAAATAATTCAAGAATTTATTATGGAAAAAACATTCAGAAAAAGGAATAAAATTAAGGCTTCCAGAAAGAAGGCATTTTCTTTTTCAAGTACTAAAAAAGTTAAGTGATGTCACAGATAATTCTGATGAATCCTTTCATGTCTCCATCTGTCAATGCTAAACATTTTCCTACTGCACTACTAAAAAAATAAAAAGGGATAGAGGAAAGAACTTGGGTCCCTATTTTTACAATCCTTTGTCCTAAATTTTCTCTTTGCTGCTTTTTACTTGGTGCTTTTTTGCCCTCCATTAAGCTAACTAACCTATTTCCTTCCAGAAGCACAGCTTCAGTGTTTCTTCTGAAAACCCATCTCTTTCATCTCAGATAAACATCTGAGCTGCAATAATTATTCTAAACCTCATAGAATTTTTTCAATAACTTATTTGAGCAGAAAAACATAATTCTTTACATCATTTTTACTGACAGAAGAATTGCAAGCTGAATCTCTTTTAGATAGACCATGGTCTCTCTGGTCCATGTAAGCCAGTCCTAATTTGCTAGACTATACAACTCTGCAAACAACTTTGCCCTGATTTTTTGCAGTTTAGTCATTGAGAACACCATATTCTTCTGCTGAGGAGACCATTAAAAACCTTACCCTCCTAGGTCTGCAGACACAATTGTGTAAAAGCAGATGGTGTGACTTTAGCATAGCTGCACAGTGCCTACAGCACTGAGACAAAACCACATCACTCTGTTACTGATCTGCTCTTCCAGGGAGTGGAAAAAGTGTTCAGTGGTTGTGCAGTTAGGCGGGTTAGAGACCAAAAATATTTCTGTCTACTCCAGAACCTGAGGCTATAACCTCCCATAATATTAGAAAGATAATTTTTCAAAAGCCCAGTTTGTCTGGATTGTCCTTCCTGTGGTAGGACCCCAGGGAGATCAAAGCTCAGTAAATATCAAAGCCCAAATCTTCAAAGGCTATCTGGATTCCTAATAACATTGCAGAAACATAATTTGCCATCATGGACCTAATTTTTAGATTTACCTCTGAAAAAAATCTCTGCAAAATTTGAGAAATTTCCCTTGAAAAATAATGAAAAGCAACATAATTGAAGACAGCAGGTGAAGCCATTAATAGGCAGCATGATGTGGTAGTCTAGAAATTTTTGTTCTGACTATATGCTTTTCTCAATATATATCTCAATAGCTTATTACCTGATGTAGATTGATATGTTGTAGATCAAGAAGCAGGGTACCTGGGGCTGATCCAGAATCTTCACATATAAACAATACTTTGATTTCAACAAAAAATTTAGAATATTTGGACTGGGATTTCTGTGGTGCTGCTGTGACTCAGTTTTAATAACACCATATTAGTAATCTGGATACAGGTGCAAAATATAAGCACTGGGTACAAGAAAGAAAAAATATTTCAATTGCAAGAAAATATATGCAAAGAATAAAAGAAGATGACACACATGGAAAAGCATGGTGACAGAATATCTTAAAAAGAGGCAGAGTGGAACACAATAATATCACAAATAGCTCAAGAGAGATTGGCAAAAATTCATTTTAATTTGTAGCACCTTCTGGCTCATCAGCTTGCATAGGTTCATTGGCCCTGCACTGAACTGGTACTTTTTATGATCCATTTTAATTCAGGACACCACAGGCAAGATCACATATATGTCGAAGGAGTGTCACGTCTGGCAGACAGTGATAAATATAATATTTACAAAGCCTACTAATTTTGCAGGCAGACTTGCATTGTGCCTGTTTGGCTTGCATTACTGTGCTGCTATACAACAAGTGGCAGCACAATTAATCATGAGCATCACAGGGTAATTTGTTATGACAGAGAGCCATGTGCTCGTTAAAGACAGCTTCCCTTTTATCCCTTTATATTATGTCCCTCCCTTTGTGATTTGTGTCCAGAAACTGGATTATAGAACACTATGAAGTATTTCCAGGATACTGAAGATAATGGCTCATGGGTGGCTCAAGGGGTTTAGCCCATCTATCCTGCTTAGTCTGCAGGTGATGGAGGAGCCGGAGAAGTTGTACAGTAGCATGCAAAATGAGGATTAAAACCTCAAACAGTGGTGGGGATCAAGTCCGTGCTGTTTGCTTGCGCAGGATCTGCTGGCACCAAGGAGGAGCCTGTGGTGACTCCCCCAAGAGAGAGCAGAACACCCCCACTTCCCTGCCAACCCCACCTGCCAGATGGAGGCCAGTTTAGCAGATGATCTGTGGGATGTGTTCAAGGAATATGCAATTTCCCATGTCATTACCCTGCTGATCAGCCACTGCAATGATCAAAGCCATTGATCAAATGGCTTTTCTGTCCTCTGTGAGGAAATTTTGTAGCAGTTTTTTTTTTTTCCTGGCAATTTATCACTGCAATTCAAGGCTAATGCAAAGATTTTAGCTTGTGCTTTTTTTCCTTATAACCTTTACAACATAGCTAGGATCGTGCGCTGATTCCCTTCAGCTCTCTAATTACTGACCTCATTTGCTAATTAGGCTAAATATATGTTAGGCATAAACCTTAGCAATCTAACCGCTCACCTCAAGCATCATAGTACTAACAGATAAAAGAAAGCACTTATGCCCCTTCATCCTTCTACAGAAAAGTAATTTTTTGCAAGCTTTTTCAACATTAAAGCTTGAATGCTAAAGAGCAAAATGCTTTTGTCAATAATAAAGATGAGATCTGTGATGCAGTTGCATTCTGTAGGTAGGAAATAGCATAGAGTATTTCCATAAACTTATTTTCTGGCTTCAAAAAAAAAAAAAAAGGCAAAGATCTCTAAAAGAATGCACAGTAATTTGATTTAAGAGTATTCAGTAGCATCTTTTCTCTATAGAACACAAAAGAACAGCCTAAAAGCTTGAGTGAGTCAGTAATAAATTAAATTTATTCTAGTATTGTGAGGGACTAAGCTATGACAGAGACAATAAATAATGCTGTCTAATGTCCACTTTATGTCAAGAACTCACAGACATCATAGGGTTTTCTACTTCTGATTCCCCATTTGTGATTTCTGTAAAGCACTAGAATACTGATAAAAATGTCTCATTTTTATTCACTTTCTAAAGAATTCTTATTTTACTACATATGAATAAACATTTTTAGGGGAAAGCTTGAAAAAAATACAGTGGATCCACTTCAAATATGTACAATTATGTAAGAATTAATTTTTAAAAAATATTCTTGCTATTGGAAAAATCCACTAAAAGTAGGAACATTTAAAATTAGCAGACTTTTTAAGACCCATTTTTACACCTTTTTTTATTGCACTTTTTGTGATACATGACAGAGATCTCCATTTGTCTTTCCATGCACAGCTTTTTATTATTTGTTCTTTCACCACTAACCCACCTCCTCACACCTTATTTTAACATCCAAAATGCCTGACAGAGGAGTTTCAAACAGACATGATAAACATAAAAAAAACTCTCATCAAGCTGACAAAAAAAATAAAGTCCTCTGTTAATCTGCCCTTTCAAAAAAAAATATAGCTTCCACTAGTCTGAGACCTTCAGTGAGTAATACCCAACCCTCTTCCCAGAACAGGATCAGCAGAGTGCAGTACAATACATCATGCTCTGCTGGGCTACCTGTGCAAGAGTCCTCCTATCAGACCATCCTCCTCTTGCCTGCTCAGCCTCTGGGTATTGAAATTCTTGAGATTTTTGACAAGCTCTGCAGCAAAATGCATTTGCAGGTAATTTGGAAAGTGCAAAGCAATATTAGTTGCAATTTTCTTTAGCTAAATTGCTTCTCTGTTACAAGAAAAGGAATGAGATCCTAGTTTTAACCCATTTAGCTTCTGCTGCAGGGCTACTGAAGATGAGGAGGAAAACAAAAAATAGCTTATGTTTCAACCTGATGAGAGTAATTTCACTATTTTGCTGCAAATGCTTGGTGCTGGTAATTATCAGAATACTAAGTATTCCATTGCCATTATATAGCCATATATCTGCAGGGCTGTTCCTGGCATGTATTCTTGCTCCTTTTTTTGGCTACAGCCACATTTTTTATTTCCTTTTCTCCTTAACTGTGTTATCCTAGAGGTGCTACCACTATCACTGATGAGTTCAGCTTTGGCCAGTGGCAAGTCCATCTTGGCATCAGCTGGTGCTGGTTCCATCAGACATTCGGAGAGCTTCTGGCAGCTTCTCACAGGAGCCAACCCTGTGGCCCTCTGTTACCAAACCTTGTCACCCAATACAAGGTTCTGCACACTGAAGTATCAGAAGATCTAGAATTTAAAAGAAGAAATATGAGTATTTATATTTTTAGCATTTCCATATCAGTGTTGCGTGTATTTTCCGTTTCTTACTCTGTTAATCTTACATGAACTGGGTTAATTTACCTGACCCATTAGATTAACTCTCTAATCTCCATATTATTGCTATTAATTCCATCTGCTTTAAGACAGAACCATATTTTAATGAACCTCATGTTCCAAAATAGTAATCTGATAATTTTGACTACAAATAATAGTGTATTAATGTATTGTAACTTACAAGTACCAGAAACATACAAATGTACAAGATGTATGGAAATGACACTGCTTTGTCTTTTCTCATACCAAATTGTAATGAAACACTGTCACAAGAGTAATGAGAGTAATGATCCAATTAGACAGGAGTCTGAGAGAGTAAATCCAATCAGACAGGAAAAAATACTGTTGGAAAATAAGTATCTAGATCTCAAATATTTCATGTATGTTTTTTTCCTGATGCAGTTTTGTGCTGCATGAGACACGGGTATGCTTGCAGATACAGGATCAAAGAACAGAAGTGTTAATTTACACTTTTTCAGCAGCTGAAAAATGGATTAAAATCTGATTATCTAAAAATAAAAATTAATCAAAGTGTGCTTTGCAATTAGTGTGCAGATTTATGAAGGGAAAAGAGAGATATTCTCACTCAACATCTTTCCCCTTGCTTGTGGTGAATCTCCATAACACACCATTGACTAATGACAGGGGAGATGAGTAATGGGGTAGGAGGGAGGTATTTGACTGTGGTAATGAAGAAAAATCAAAGCACCAGTGAATGCAGACAGAAAGCAATGGACTTTGATGTGTGCTAGATGGAAAATAAAATAACTTTCTTCCCCTTTTTTTTATTTATTAATGGGAGATGCAGGGCAGAAGCTTTATAGGTGTGTTCTATGCTCCAAATTTTAATTTTTATTTTCTAATTTATTTGTAACAGCTTACTACACTGCACTTGAAAATCTTTTCTTTTAAAACTATGCATTATTATACAATAGCTGTTTCATGCAGTAGGACTAACTGAAGAAATATTTCAGGCTTTTAGTCAGTGTTTTTATAAAAGTCAGTGTCAAGCAGCCACTTTGGCTGGAAAGTAAGAAATGCAACACTAATGCAGGGAATTAGCAACATACATGTACTGCCTGGTACATATGGCTCAAGATATATCATTAATGGTTTTAGGTTAACATCTACATCTTACTTTCTACAGACATGGAAGTGAAGAGCTACAAAGAGATGCTGCCAGCACTCACCTGAGACTCTGAAGAATATCTTTGTTAGCAGGGAATTAGTGGAAAACCAGAAGTAATCATTCACTCCTATTCTTCCTGTATTTTCAACAGCTTATGGAAGCTTCTCTGAAATAGAGGTACCAAATAACATCTCTAAACTAATTAATATACTACAGCTTTTGTCTGGGTAAAACCAGAGAAAAACCCCATTACCATGCAACCTTCAACATCAGAACCTCTTTTTCCCTGGGAATGTAAACTTGGCAAAACTAGCAAAAGAAAAACTTGTTTTAGCTTATGCAAATCCTTTTAGTTCTTTATCATGACTTAAGTATGTTGCAGGAAATGTACACAGAGCATCCACCTATGACTTAGAATTCTTGATGTTTTTTAATGCATGGCTTTGAAATTAATGATGAAGGCCCCTCAAGACACTCTGTGAAACCTGTGCTGATAATTAGCAACATGAGGAACAACAAGCTTCACCTCTGACAGAAAAGGAGAGGTTCCTTTTTCTTGATAATAGCATTCAAATTTTAATGGGTTAATAAATGGCATGGACTGAAAAAGCAATTTCAGCTGAAATGCTGAGAGAATGTCAGCAAAATTAGTATGCCTGACAGTTTAACCAGCAGCACCTGAGAAGGATTAGTGCCGTGACATGAGCTTGGCTCTCTTCTTCAGTCTGATAGGTTATGTTCGTTAAGCTGCTCTTTCTGGGATCATTACAGATTGGGCTTTCTTGGCTTAAAGAGAGGACCCAGGGCTGTTTAGTGCCAAAAATATGTCCACTTTTTGGTGGTCTCTGCTACTTGATGATGTGACTGACTAATCTGAATTCAGACATTTAAAGGAGGCACGTTTTGGAGGAAATGAGCAAAGGAAGCCCTGCTGTCTTGGAAACACTGATCTTTGGCATATAATTCAGTTTTTTTCCATATGAAGGTATAAAGACAAAAATGAAGTCTAAAGCTCAAGCTGCCAAGTGCTCAGCCCCATCCTCTGCCCCACCTACAGGGCTACCAGTGGCTCCAGGGTACACAGCCATTGTTACAGCTGGCCTTTGAGATAAGGGGCATATCTGCAGCAAGTGCCATCAATCTTCCCCTCGAACTCAAGAAAAAAATTTAAAATAATCTTTCACAAGGTGTAATGCATTTAGAAACAAAATTGGTCATAGTGAATTTTGATATTGAGGATTTTGTTTTAGAAAAAAACTTTAGAAGTTCCTAGTTGTCTGTTTGCTGTTTTGCTGCAAACTTGCTCCATCTCAGCTTCTAAATTCCAGTCACTGAATTATTTTATATTGGAGGTTAACTCTCTAAAGATATGGTTACTAAAGTTCATCGTTCTTCAAGATGGATGTTCCTATTCAGATATAAAATATCTGTGTCCCTTATTGCTCACCTGGTTTTCTTTGATAGCAATAGCTATAGGTAACAAAACATTACAGAGGAAATTGATATTAATTTGTTTTTTATAGCTACTCAGTACACAGGGGTTTTCTGCATGAATATGTTCTTAGTTCAATTTCTATTTAAATGAAAGCTTTAATGGAAATCTTACATGAGTTGTTAACATAAATCATCATACCAATTTTAGCTATACCTTGGTGGGATATTTCAAAAACTCTGAATTTGATTGAAAGGCCTTGTAGAAGTTTAGATTTCCTAACAGGTTCTTTTAAACACAGAACCTGTCTCAATTACATTAGGCATTGAAGACTATCTTTTTATGAGGTAAGATTAAAGATTACTTATGAAAAAGAAATAGACATTAAAAACCCCCATATTTTTCTGGCTTTACTACCAATCAGTATGCTTGAATATTTCACCCCTTTGATTATTCATTAAATAGGAAACTTATTTATATTATAGTATAATATAAATTATATATATTTTTTACTTATATAGCACATAAAGTTAGACATGTAATCACAAGATTATTTTTTACAATGAAAAAAATCTTGCAGGTATATAACTTGAAAACTATTAGAAATTCCTTAGAGAAAATGCAAATATCTACTTATTTTTTCCTAATGGATAAATATGCAGATATAAACTAATTAAATTTTCTGTAAACTTGACATTTTTGGTGAAAAGAGAGAAAAAGAGAGCTCATGTAAGACAAGGCTAACAGGAGCTGTTGAATTCTCATGAGATTTTTTAGGCCTGTGTTATGTCTCAGCATTTCTAAACCCAAACTGCAGTTTAAAATTAATTGTTTGTGTTTTAATCCTTTGAATACTTGAAAACTTTTTCTCATATACACAGACCAAACTTCATTGAAGCAGTCATTGATTTCCAATTGTGCATCAAGACCTGCAAAGTGACTTACCTGGAAATGAATTTTGTAATAGTTTTGGAGACACTGACAAATTTGATGTAAGGATTATTATTGACATGAATAGATTAGAAATTTTTCTTAATAGTGCCATAAGATTAATCATTTTTCCAGATACAATTCATATACTCAGTCAGCTATTTATTATACAAGGCAACCAAACATCTGACTAGTGAATGCTCCATTTCCCTGGTATCCATATGTCCTACTTGCTGTCATTGAATCTTCCAGAGGAACCCTATTTCACTTTTGCACCAGCCAAATATAATGTAAAGTCACTTGAGAACACTCAAAGTTTATTCATTAAAACAAACGAACAAAATCACAGGCCTGTTTAAAAATGAAAACCTCAACTTAGGAATGTCTTGAAGTTGTATATGTATCTAATAATTCTCAACAATAGATATCAGCACCTCCAGCCAGCATGTACCTCATTTTGAACAATGGTTCATTCTCATAAATGACTCTCATTTATATGAATAAGACTTCCACAGTGGACAACAGTTCAGATCTTAACTGTTAATGGAACATGAAAAAGTTGTGGAAAATAGTTTTCTAACCTAGCAATAGAGGAAATAGGTTTGGATCTGACTCCAAGAATATTCACTATGGCTTCCAATTACAACACAACTTGATCCTCCTTTACTTTTTCACTACCTGTCCCTAGCCAGATTAATGGAACAAACTCATAAGATCACTTTGCTAAAACTGCCTGTAAAACCAAAATGCTGAACAAGATGCACTAATCCTCATTTTGAAAATGGAAATCAGCCTATTAAACTAACTTCACTGCTAATTGTTGACTGTGACACGAGCTAGTTAAAAGAACAGTTGGAAGCAATCACATGCAGAGAACAACATTTACAGTTTATACTTCTAAGCTCTGGATCAGCTCACATTTAAGTTACAGGAACAATTTGGTTTAGTGGAACTAGAGCTGAGTCTTAATTGGTCCAAGTTCTGTGTAATTCAATGGATTGTCTCTCCCTGAGGGAGCTGTGAACTTCTTTGTAGGAAAACACTGCAGTCAATCATTTACTGCTTTTAAGGTGAGTTACACCTCGTTGTCCTCTTTTGTCAATGCCAGAATGGGATGCAGAGGAAAGGAAAGGAGTTCAGTGATCCTAAGAAGGAGGTTAGTTTCCAAAATTGGGTAAACACATATAATTCATTATTAAGGTTGATATAAAACTCATTAATTTCAGTGGATGTTGGACCAGGTGTTGTCATTGTCTTTTTTATGTAACTTTTGTTGGGCCAGTTGCTGGATCTTAAAACAATGAATACTGCTGTATGTTTTTCACTGGGATTTGTATACTAAGTCACCTTATGTTGTCCTGCATAGTCATCCAGGTATTTTAATATGAATATTACAAATTGAGGTAATCCCCATTGGCATAGTACCTTTCTAACCACTAAAGTGAGATAAAAACTTTGATTACAGAGAAGAAAAAAGACAAAACCATACTGCTAGATAATGAAATTGTTTAATGCCTGTTATTTGAAAAATAAAATAAAAAGTATCTACTGAGAAACTGGGGATTAATCTTGAAGTAAGCTTTTGCCCTTAGTATTCCTCAAGGATAAGATTAAGTATTTAGGTAGAAATATATTGTTACAGTTATCTTGGAGTATGTATATGCTAAATCTCTCTATAGTGCTAAAAAGCAGAGTTTTCATAAGTTGGACAAAACAAGAGCTTTCTCATTTTAGAATGAGGTGAAAAAAATGGTTTAAGAAAGGTCAAACATCTAAGTGGGAAAAAGAACATATTTCACATTCTAATCTGAATATTTCAAATTACAATTTGAATTAATAATTCAAATACTTCCAGAAAATAGTTGTGTCAGTAGATTATTTTACAGGCATGGTCAATGCAATGAAATGTTTATTTAAATAGTACAGTGTACCATCCCTGAAACCAAATGAAAGTGATTGTCCTGGTCTCTATGCTGCAGCTATCAGAAGGATCAGCATTAACAACTAACATCAAGAGCCAGAACTACCTGCAGATTGATGCATGGAGATGTGTGCTGCACTCTCCCATCAAAGGTGTACTGTTGCACAGGAAGAATGAATACATTTCACCAGGCAGATGAAAAGCAAGCAGAGAGCAGCACAGGAACTGTAGCACTTGCTACTGGCTGACATGTTCTCCTTAAAGGAAGGCAGACAGAAAGCCAACAAAGTTTGGAGAAAAAGGTAAGTAAAAGATGTTTAAAAAGACACCTACATAATACAATTAAACATAGCATTCCAGTTATAAACATTTTTGTTTCTAATTTGCAATGTAAACACAGAAGTAAGGGCCGTCATTTCTAACATGGAAGATAAACATCCTCTCATCAGAGTGGCTGTGGAGCCAGGAATACCCCTGTGCTTTAAATCCTAAACATACTGACTGCAGCATCTCAGGACCAACACACCCCTATTCCCTGCATTTCCTATGGATAAAAATCACAATTTATTTTTTTCCCTGTGGGAAGCCTACACTCCTAGGTTCCTACTCTCATTGCAGGATGAAATTATGTTTTTTTTCCCTCTGCACTTCATAGCTGCTTTTCTACTAAAAAATGATAGTAAGCTTTATTTCTTTTATTCAAAATTCTGTTCTGACATTTCCAGTGTCAAGTGTCAGTATCATCAAAGTGACTACTAATTGTGTTTGAAAGTAGGCAGTGAAAATCACGTTCAGAGTATGACTGCAAGGAATGTATGTCTGGCTGACCTGAACCCTCATTATGATGATCCCCTGCTTTTTAAGTATCAGATAATGAGTATTG